AAATGGTGTTTTATGTTTCACAGGTGATTTCTTTGGATATTTTAAAGTTTCTTTGATTGTGTTTGTCAGAAAATGAGTCAGCGGTTTTTATGAACTTGCAGGTTTGACAATGGGCTTTATTGCATGGACGACAACCATTTTTGGGTGGGATGTAATTAATTTTTGTGTGAACAAGGATATCTTTCAGGGTTCTGCTTTTTTGGAAGGAGACAACAGGAATTTCAGTAAATATCTGTTTAAGATGATCATTGGGCTGTAGTAAATGAAAATTTTTTTCAGAATTCATTACACGTTTCTGAGTTTAAACTGATAGGTAATAGTAAGAGGAATTCTATTTGAAAGTTTAGTATTGTATTGTTTTAAGATGTTTTTCCACTGAGTGTTGTTAGCCTTTTCAATTTGTCTGTCAATTTTGGTATCTTGATATCCTCTTTGTGACATGGTTTGTTTTAGATCTTTGGTGTATTTTCTGTAGTCTGTTTAATCTGAGCATATTTTCTTTATTTTAAGAGTTTTACTGTAGGTAATATTTCATTTAGTGTGAGAGGGGGTGACAGCTTTTATAGTGAAGATATTATAGTCTGTCTGTAGGTTTTTTGGACAAGTCAGTGTGTAAAATTCTGTCTTTTAGAAAAACAGTGACCTCAAGAAAGTTAACCTGGGTAGGCAAGTAATCACAAGTAAATTTGATTGTTTTGTGAAATGAGTTTGCATGGGAGGTAAATTCTTTAAGTGATTTAAGACCGGCTGTCCAAATGAAAAATGTCTTCTGTGTAATGTTTCCATGTATGAGGTTTCACAGGGCTTAGTTGTAAAAAGCTGGTTTTCAATATGACCCATAAAAATGTTGGCATAATTGGGAGCCATTTTGGTATCCATTGCTATACCGTTAACCTGAATATAATACTCATTATTTAATTTGAAATTGGTCAGAGTTAAAACCAGGCTGGTAATTTGAGTTTCTAATTTGTAAGAAACTATAGATTTTGTACTTGGACATCACAAACATATAATTGAACCAAAGCTGTATTCAACATACCACATGACTCACAAAAAATTTATATTTAGGAATTTTGTTTTAATATTTAGTTTTAAATTAAAATGTGTAATACTGAAATTTGAATTACAATCTACAATATGATACCAAACTTATTGGCATACATTCATAAAATAGTAGATCAGTAAAATTTTGAATGTAAGTCTACAAACATGATGACATACCCTTTGACTCCTGACCATAGGAAGATCCATAGCAAGAGGGTTGAAATATACACTTATATATAAAATGATAGTACTACAATGATCGATAGTATCAGTTAACCCTCTTGGTATGTGTAGCTCAAAGTGAGCATGTCAAGACTATTTACTGAGTTACATTCAAAATTTAATTAAACTACTTTATTTTAAAATGTATACAAATAAACTTGGCATCAAAACATAGTTAATTTGATCAAATTTTAATATTATATAAGTTTTAATTTCTTAAATTCAAAAGGAAGTATTTAAATAAATTTTTAATTTCGCTTTGTATGTGTAATGTGACATTTGTTCACTGCACCTTGCCTTTTTTCACTTTTTTCTTCACCACTGTGATGTCCTGATTTTAACATAAATTACTTATTATAGTATAGATCTTACTAAGGCATAGTTTAAATTTTATAGCCTTCAATTTCTCTGCTTATCTAGTTTTCCAATGCCCATTTAACCCTATCATTACAGTTCAAAGGCCATGTCATCGCATTTATTGACTCGCATTCAAAATTTTATTGAACTACTATTTTATAAATGTAAGTTTGGTATCAAATTGTAGATTATAATTATAATTTTAGTATTACACATTATTAGTTAATTTTTAATTTAAAAGTAAATAGAAAAAAACACCTAAATATTGGTTTTTGTGTGTCGTGTAATATGATGAATGCAGCATTGGTTCAATTTATATGTTTGTGATGTCCAAATACAAAGTCTGTAGTTTCTTATGAATTATATACTCAAATTACTGATATTGATATGCTAGAATGTAAAATAAGAACCTCCTCTCTTTTCTGTTTTTCAAGATATTAATATATTTATTGAATCAACCAAGATGGCCTTGCCCACCTCTTCAGTTTTTGAAAGTATTTGTTTATGTACACCTACATCACCCAGTGATGTGTATAACCAAACGAAAGCTCAGAATGCCCCTAATGGCTTTCTCTGCCTTTTTGAAGTATTTGGTGGTAAACTCGTTCTTTTCTTGCTAGATTACAAGCGGTAAGGTGTTAGTGAGCTTGAAATTTCATACTTACAAATATAGTTTAGTTACTGAGCTTGATAATTTTTGGTGGAATTCTGTGGTATTGGTATAGTAATTTATGATTTTTGGTTATTTAAAATGTATATATAAAACCTAAAAAAGTTATTTTGTTTCACATCCTCCACTTGCAAAATTTGATAAGGCTTAGCAACCTATGACAAGTAGCAAACAAGTACAAAGCTCGTAACTAGAAGAACTAACTTCTTTATATAGTGTTCTATGTTTTAAGAAAAATAACTGAAATTTAAAAACTTATTTGTAAATAGTAATAATGTATATCCATATATAATGTATTATAACTAAAATGTGACTGTATTTTACAAAATACTAGTCCACTAGAACAAAGTCAAGTCAGGTCACTTTGTAAAGGCCAGTTTTATATTCTTGGGTATGGTAACATGAGTGCAGGTGCGGAGAATCATTGCAACTTCTGTAATGTTGGCCAGGCATGGCTGAAAGGTCAATGTAATAAAAATAATATATATAATGTATAATTTTATGAGATTTAAGCTATTTAGCCCAAACAGATGTGTTTTCATGTTATAATCTGTAGTCATTCTAGGACAAAAAAAAACATAACTTATATTTATTTCCTAATTTTGTATGGTGGTCACAAGGTCAGTCAAACCGACCAAACCCATACAGAGATTCAATAGTAAAAATAACAGAAAAAATATAAAGTTTTTCTTAAAAAACATTTGATAATTATCTGAAGGTTATAAAGATTTTATATGTAAAATTTGAAAATTTTCTGATGCATAAAAGTATTTCTAATTTTAAAATCAAAATTACCTTGCATGTTGAATAGTAAATATTCAAAAAAAGAAAAATGGCATGAGAAGAATTACTTTAAAAATCTTAAACCTTAATAAAGAAATCTCATATTTTGTGTGTGAAAGCCTTGCAGTGTTTACTGATAATCTGCAAAAGTTTGTGAGGATACACGAAGTTATAACATAAAACTATAACAAGCACAAAATGGTTACGAGGTCGGTCTGTGGGACTGAGCCCGTGCTGAAAAGAGTTAAACCGTCTGATCACAGATATTCATAAGTGCTGTGTCTAGCAACTTGACAGATATTTCTTACTATGGAATAGCATGAATACCTGTTTTGTTCTCTAACTGCTTGAGGTATGAAATAATTGAACAGAAAGATGTGACTGGAAGCTATGTTAGTGAACCCATACCCTTTTGCTATTGTTTCTTGATGAAGATTCTTCTTGATTGTTTTGCATACTGTTATTAGGGGCACATGCACAGCTTTAACCACTGGCCTCTGTGTTTTTGGATTCTAACCTGTCACAAGGTGCCTTACTTTGTTTACTATATCTGCAGTACAACCTGATGCAGGTTTTTCTGTGTAGCTCTGGTGCCCCAAGTTGATCCATATTCTTTTGTTTCCCTGTATCATTAAGTACAGGAGATATCCTCATCTTTGAAATTTTAAATATCTGATTTGAATACATCTATACAATATAAGTGTATAAATATTTTGTTTTGGAAAGGGCTGTTACATACCTGTCCGAAAAGCAGTCAGTTTTCAATGACATCACACTACCTCTAAAATTCCACACATTGTGAAAATGCACTTCTGATACATGTTGTTCCCCAACAACCTTATATCAGCTGTGGTTAGCATGCAACTTGCTGATTTGCACAGTTAAAATCATTTTAGTATAATGTACTAAACCCTGTATATTAAGCAATAATATAATTGTTACTCATTTTTTGAAATACAGCCTAAAAATCATAGAATAAGATGGAAAAATGTTATGTTGAAGAAAATTATATTCTGTGCAAAAAATCCAACTTATTTAGAGTATAGAAATCAGGTTAATTACAAGTTAGTCTTCACAACATATTACAAACTAGACATAGCAAATATTTACAGTCTAGACCTGGCAGGTGATTATAATCTGTAGTGACAGTTGCACTTCCAGAGTGCTTTAAATTATAAAAGAACATGATGTTGTTTGAAGCTACAGAAATACTGTATAATTTTCTTTCAAAATATTATATATGTTCTTTTGGATAACAAGTTCTAAACTCCTGTATAAATTCCCATGTTTTTCTTTGCATCGTGCATTATTTCAACTTTATATATATATATATATATATGGTTTTACAATTTATCAAAGACTGTTTCTCATTTTAAAGTAATATTTTGGTTAATGTTACCACAAAATATTATTGTTATGGGTCTGAAGAGCAACAATAAGAATCAAATTTATTACATTCCAATCATGAATACATGTCCACCCATTGCATATATGATAAAAACTGCTTGTAACACAGTAATCAATAAGGATGTCTTCCAGTACTCTGAAGTAGTGCAGAAAAGAACTGGAGAAAAGAAGAAGAAACAACTAAACAAACGCATGAAAGCTGAATCAACTTTTGGTTTATTTAAAACCAAAGAATTTTAATTTATAAGAAAAATCAAATTGAAAATATTTAAATTCAATGACCATCATAATTATTTATCCTTACTTCTACAGTAATCATCGTGGAAATATTTTATTTTTTACTATTTGTTTTTCCTTTTCCATTTAGCATAAACTGGTGAACATTTTCACCGTCGGAACTCTTAAATACAAGTTTGTTTTTAGTATTATTGAGAAATTATAAGTACAGATTAACATTCCAAAGGTGCTGAATATTTGTTTTTATTGAGATACTATTTGACACAATACTTTGTTTCAGGCTGACTCTAGGATTTCTGCACAAAGCAATGAAGAACTGAAAGAAGAAGTTGAGCAGCTAAAAAGTGTCAACCACCAGTTGTATCTTTACTCAGTAACATCTCTTCTCAAATCTAATATTGCTGATTATGATACATAAAGATATTAAGAAAGGTGTAATGTACTTTTTATTTAAGTCTTATGTACCCAAGTTTCATGTGTGATGTAATAAAATGGCCAAATTTCATCTAGTCATGGAAAGTTTATTCTTAAACTTACTCACTAAACTTCTAACAATTAAAATTAATGATTAGTGTTTTTATGTAAAAATTGCATGGTAATCAGAATATAAATATGAATGCTCTTTAACCTTATGGATAAGGGTGAGTGAAAGTGCACATCATGACCTTTTTCTTACAGTTGCATACAAAACTTAATTAAACAACACTATTAACAATGTCTGTCTTTAAATTTGGCATCAAAAGTTTATTATTCAAATTTTGACATGTAAGTTTTAATTTATGTCAAATGACACGCATCTTCACTCTGTTTTGAATGTCCAGTTTTTTTTTGATTTGCTGAGATACCAATAAATTTGTAAAACTGACCAGAGTTAAGTAAAGTCATTGCTCCAACCAATTTTTTAACATATTTATAGTTAGAAAGCCAAATAAATGATAGTAGTTTATAGAGACACTATTTTAATGCCTGATATATTTTTTTTTCTAAAATGAGAAGAAAGTGGGGTTATTATTCATGGCACCAGATTGCAAACGGTCTCAAGGAAAAATTTTTAGTTTTTTATTTTTGATATATATATATTTTAACAAAAGTATCTAAAATATAAAAATTATAAACCTTTTACATTGGATAACAAAACTTAATGGAAAAAAAAGCAGTTTGAGGGCACATGATATAAATTGATCATTTTGTTTACTCTGAGCTCTCCTACTGAAGATGTATTGCTATTGTAAAAAGTAAATGAAAGTAGGTATGTAAAGGTTAAAATGAGTACCTGTAATTGTCTATTGCAATCTGCAGTTACTCTAGAAAATGGGTATTTTTGATTTTATTTTATAATTTTCAACTTTTTATTTTATTGTACATTAATGATATTGTTACAGTTAGTGTTATGGTAGAGAAAATGAGATAAAGCATAGAGTTTTAACAAAGAACTTTTTGTTATTCATTTAAGAGGCTCTAGAGGTTATGGAAATAAAAAAATGAAACTGTAAGATTAAAAGTAGTATTTTTGTTCTGGCTCAGTAAAGGCTTCATAAGTTAACAGACAAATCTCTACTAAAAATACTTTATTAGAAAATGTTTTGTGTGTGTGTATGTGGTACAACAAGATTACATGAATATATACTTAGTACATTCAGAGTTATAGTATGTATAGTTTCATGTTTACATGGTAGTTACAAGGTCATTAAAAATTACATTGTTTGTATGCATAGGGTTAATTTGATATAGTTATAGGTTCTGTTGAATCTTTATAAAATATTTCAAAGGTTTTTGTTAAGTTATGAGCTTTAACACAACCCTTTTTTTAATCATTTTCTTTCACTCATTTGACATTCCATCTGCTGGAAGCTTGCTTTTCTTGAGATTTACCACTTTGGTTAAATGTTTATTTTGTTTTTCTATGAATACCGTTTTGATCATTTTTATCATTACAACATTATTACTTCAGCTAATTATCATCTTGTTTGTATTGTTTTTCTCAAATACACAACAATAGCCTTTTGCTCTGTGAATATTCTTTGGTATTGGATTTATAGATCCCTGCCATTCTGTAACTGTCATAGACCCTTGTTGTTTGTTGAAATATGTCACAAACAAATTCTACAACCACAGGCTTCACCTTTGCATATTTCCAAGTAACCATTTTTGTGTCAATCATTAAGTAACCTTAGTTTGTGTCCAAGTTTTAGATTCTTGTATCTCTTAAATCCTGTTAAGTTTCAAGAAACTCAAACTCATGTGGTATCAGTTAGAAACCTTCAAATAATACAACAGCCGAAGTTCACATTCACTAAACATAACTAACAACAGTTTGGTGAAGGGGGATATCAGTATCCCCAAACAACCCAGTTGGTAAAAAGTTGGCAAATTTTCCTTTATAAACTATATACCTACCATGTTTAAAATAAAAAAAAGAAAATTGTCTTCCTTATTTTTCTGTAATTGTCTATTTTTCTAGCACTGTATTATTCCAAATTCCATACCTTTATGTACAACCTTATTTAGTTTATTTTGTTTTATTTCCTTGTAACTCATCCATTGTTTTGTATTTACAGTATTATTTCTTTGCCATCACTCCAACTATGCTTTCCATTATTTTTGTGAATATATTACCTCTTTCCTTTGTTATATACTGTTAGTGATTTTATTCTAGATGTTAGAAGTAACTGTTGTTTCCTCATTACAACATTACCATTTACATCTATTACTCATTTTCTGTTGATGTATTAATCAGGCCTAGGGCAAGTATTTAAAACATAATAAAGCTATTCATGCTCTGCATAATAGTAATCATTCATAAGTTTACTTTTTAATAAGGCTGGCCTGTGCCGCTGTGTTTTAGAACAGGTACTGAAATGAAATTACTAATATGTATAATAGTGATAGGGTTAGATGAGGTCTAGTGCCAGACTGTGGGTTCATAGTTTGCATCCATTTTCTATGAGTTTACTGTAGGGATAGGCTTGTCTAAAATGCTTTAGAGCAGGTACTGAAAAAAAACTTATGAAGGCCATTAGAACTGTACTTAGTAATGATCATAATAATTTAGTGAACTGGCCAAATTGTGCATCTAAAAACAAGATGAAAGAAAATATTACTATAACCACTATTACAACAACTTGGTGGATCCCTACCACCTTATAAAATTTTATTTTATTGTTTTCTGTATTGTGTCCTTGAACAATATCAGATAAATCATTCTTAAGAACTATGTATCCATACATGTATGGTGTATAAGTGCATAATTAGTACTTCCTGTTTCCTTTAGTTAGGCATGAACATTTCATGATCAATTAGAATTTTCAAAAAAATGTGCACATATTTGTTTCTAACTGTGGGTTATATTGAGGATATATCTTCCCTTACATTGCTATTGGAAAGCCAACAGTTCACATGGGTGGCATCTGCTTACTGAGAGTGATCACATCATATAACAAACTGTGCTCTCTTAATCTGGGATAGGTAAGTTCAACAGGTTCCTCAGTCAAGCAAGGACAGTCTCTGTATGACTCCCAGGTATTCACCTATCAGGTTAGCCCAATCTCCACCTCTAGTTGATGACACATGAGACCAGGTGAAATACACTGGAGATGCTGCTTGATGACAGGATTTGCCAGCCCAAGATATTTTGGCAGCTGATGAAAATAGTGATCCATGGGCAAGTTGTGAGCTTCTCCATGATGGGATGCTTTCTGTCATTTTGACCACAGGTCATGAAGAAATGTGGGATCATGCAAAACCCAGAAGCAAGATGTGGCACCTCATATTGCAGCCCAGGGATAGAAATATTACTGTAATTCAAATGTAGAGGTTTCTTAGCATGTCTACTACATTGCACCCCAACAGTTAAGACATTTTGGCTTGATGTTGCTAAATAATCCATGGGAAAGGGTTGATACCACCATCAAAGGTCCCTGTGAGTGAGGCTAATCAGATTTCTTCCATAATATTTAAGGGTTAAACTAAAGAATATTTGAACCATTTCTTGAAATGTTTCAGACATTAACAGCCTGGAATGGCTGGACTCAAGAACTGGCAGTGCAACTCCTGATGTCGAGTTTCAATGGTGTGCACTTGACTTGATTGATCACTTACAAAAGGAGCAACTTTATGACAGATACAATCATAGCTGAGTTGTGCCAATGTTCTGATCTGGTGCATAATTCATGGAGGTGAGTTAAAGGCTCGAAAAAAGACTCCCACAGAAAACTTGGCCACTTATATGGACAATTTGCATCACTTACGTGGGTTTGGCATATTCCACAGTGGAGTTGGCAGAACATGATGACATCCTTAAAGTAAAGTTCATTATAGGACTAACAAGCAAGACAGTATGTGTGACTAGGTTTGAGGTAGTATTTTTAAACAGGTTATAACAGAAGAAGAAGAAGCCTGCAGTTGCTGTACCTCATCCATTCTACTCCCCTAAAGTGTCTGTATCATCCTAAGCTCATGTTCTACTGATGATTAATCAGCCTCTGACACAGCTGCACCAGAAGCCAGTGAGTGGGCAAGGTTTCCCTGGCCCTCCCGTGATGTTTGTGCTGCAGCAGATGTTGTTGAAACCTTTACCTAGACTTTACTCAGAAAGGTAGGGATGAAACATATGCTTTTATTGTAGGCTGAAGTGTCACCTTAGAATGAACTGCTTGTATCTTACTTCATGATGTGATAAGTGAAACTTCTTGTTCTGCCAAACTTCTCAACACATACAGCAAGGCCACCAGCATACTATGGCTTTTACTGCTCTGGTTCTAAAAGAATAACAAAGCTGAAGTTGAGTATGGCTACTATCTTGGGGGAGTGCAGCAGTCATTTGCATCCAAAGGTTCAGTGGTCAGCCGATCTCTTACATGGCTAGGTATGTGCCAATAAAGGTACATGAACAAGAGGTGGAGTTCTCAATTGATACCAAATCTGCCAGGGCACTTATTGACTTTTCCATGTACCAGGTCTTCTCAGTGAAGCTACCACTTCAGCTGTTCAATACTGAATTAATACTGCAAATAGTAATTGACTGAATGTGAATAGATAAACACGTCTGATTATGTATAGGTAATGTTGCCCATATGACAAAATTATTTGTCTCTGGGTTTGGAACTCTAGGAATGGATATATTGCATAAATTATTGGTTAGTTTTGACTGTGCAGCAGGTAAACAGTTTTTTCACAGAAGAGTCTTCGCATGCCAATCTGATTGGGTCCAAGAACAGTGGACTACATGTGTGATGAGGAGGAAGTTACAGTTCCTCTTAATGACAAGTGGTTTTCTGTAGTGCACCATAGAGGAAGTCTAGTGAATTGTCATGTGTATAAAATGCACCGTTTGTTGTCCAGAAAGCAGGCAGTATGAGTTTGAACAGTTGTCTGTAAAGATGTGATATAGTCTTGGTGTTGCTTTGTAATTGTAAACATTTGGCTAATCAGCTTTGTGCTGGAATGATCTAAGGCATAATAAGTGATAAGCTGAGACTAGTGGTAGATCTAGGATTGTTTTGTTGTGCTACATTTTAGAACAAATTCACACTGCCAACTCATCTGAAGTAGCTAATTTATGATTGTGCAAGCTGCCTAGGTTCAACACAGCAGCTTAATCTCAGTAAATTATTTACTGAGTGTGCCTTTTGGAACCCAGTATTTGTCAGAAACAAATGCATATTCTCGGCCATTTCCAGCAATCTCTCTCCTTCCACGCTTTTTTATTCCATAGATCCCCATGTGTCCCTTCAAGCCCATTCACTATAGTTCTGCTCCTTAACATCTCACTATTTGGTATTTTTATAATCATATCTTGTAGCTTTTCTTTAAAATTATCTTTCTCCTTATCAGAACATCCTGTTTGCAGAGCATAACCAGACACTATGTTTAGCAACCCTTCCTTAGTTGTCAGATTCACTTGAATGTGTTGGTTTGATGTTCCCTCTACTTTGACCACTTTCATCTTGAATTCTGTGTCTAATACAATTCCAACTCCGTTCCTTCCTTTTGACTCTCCTGAGTAGAACAGCTTGTAGTCCACAAATACATATTTCATGAGTGAAATGGTAGATCGCCCTTGAGGACTTGAAACCATGCTTCCGACATATTGCCACAAAGGTGACTACATCAGATGTTTTCTATGAATAAAAGCTATCTGTTCAGTTGTATATTTTGCAGTGTCCCAGCCATATATGACTCGAATTTTATGTATTGTTTTGTTCATAGCCCTAATGATGACATTTATATTATTCATATCCAGGACACGCAAATATGTTTGGTTCTATTATGGCCCAATCACTAGATGTAAATACATTCCTGATAAGTCCTAATATGACTGTCCTCTTATTGTCACTTTGATGTAGTAATTGTCATGTAGAGCACAGGGTTTTCCTGGCAATAGTGTGTGAAATTATTTTAAACACGCTTAACATCACATCTATGTGTCTGTATAAAGTCATTTCCTCGATATCAATTATAAACACATCGTGAGATGTAGAGAAGCTTTCTACAGTAAGGATAGCTTCTAAATTTTCTCTTTCTGGGACTATATGTCCTCTTGCTATCCTCATAAGTCAGGCCTCTTTCATCATTTTTAAAAGAAACTTCCCAAAAGAACCAATTTGATCTATACACTGCAAGAATTCCCATCATTAAACTCGTGGACTCTCAGAGTGTCTTTAAATAACAAACTTCTTATCTCATTCGGAGCAGATGGAGTATTCTTAGCTGAACTTCACTCTATAAGTCCAGCTAATTTCTGTTTCCAAATGCCTCAATAAACTTTTGTTGTGTCTTTGATCTGATTGGATCTAAAGACTCATCCTTAGGGTATTGTCTCCTTGGTGTATTAAAAGCTGTTTGTTGGACATACAAGACTGTTTAGTGTAAGATTTATTATTTAATTTATTTGGTGATTTAATATTTAATGATTATTTAGTTTTCATAACAAGAGTGTTAAGAGTAATTATTTTAAAGGCGATGAGTTGTAAGAGTTATACATCGTGTGTGTAGTTCGATTGTTGTAGTATTGTTGACGTTATCTTTCTCGAAACCTCTCAGTTTTTCTCGCTATGTGAGTATTATTACATCATAGCGTATCGTAGTTTGTAGAAAGTTCGAGGCCTCAGTTAGGCAATTTGGAGGTGTGAGAAACACCATACGAAACAAACAAAAACCTTTCAGTAAATATACATTTTAATTCAAACGACCATCTCCTAGGTGATTTATCAGTATTGACCCTCAAACTTGAACCACCAGACAGAACCAAAAGAGAAAGAGATGAATATAAGTTGATTTTTAAATCTGATATCAAACAACTTTTTAGAATGAATAAACGATTTTCTTTTCTTTGAATGATTTTTGTAGTCAGTTTATATATTGTTGCGTCAGCAGTCACATGACTACAGTGACGCAACGTTTCTAGAATTATCGTGTACTTTGGCGAATGGTCTTG